AGTGATTGACACATAATTTTAAGGGATTTTTGGATTTTTGATAAGTGTAACCCCCCTTAATGAATATTCATGAATATGATGATTGTGATCACTAATTCTACTTTTACTCAGATATATAACGAGAGCAAAATCACAATTAAACACATCGACAAGTGCAATGCATCATTCATTCATTTGAATAATCTTCACTATCATTATTATCGACAACAACAGCAACAACAACAACAACAACAACAACAACAACAACAAAAAATTCAAGAGTAATTCATCAGCTTATTAATAATTTCCTAGAACTACAGTTTGCAAAATCAACTTATCAATGTTTATAATTACAAAATCAAAAAAATCAAACTTCCACCATGCTCATTTTTAATCTAGAACGGTGAATAAGTGCCATATATGGTGGGAGTAAAATGTTTTTAACGAATTATCAAAAACTAACTACAAAATTAAAATTAAAAATTAAAAATTAAAATTAAATTAAAATTAAAAATTAAAATTAAATCAAAATTCTAAAAAATATCATCATCATCAATATTCCATTTAGAATCTCCAATGCCTTGAATCTTTTCTCTACCGACACGTTCTCTTTCTTTCCAATATTCATGATTGAATTTCCAATATTTTTCACCGGTGTCCTCTTCAATTTCTTTAGTAAACCACCTAGGTTGAAATTCTGGAATAGAACCAGCTTCTCTTAATTTTCTTTTTTCTCTTTGTTTCTCCTCTAATCTATTTTTTTCCAAACTTGCAGATTCATAATCACCTAACTCCATTGATCTTTGATCAGGCCTCAATCTTGAATCTGTAGGTGCTATCCATATTTTCAATGAACTGGGTAAATCATTTAATGTCATTGCATATGGTGTTAAGTTAAATGGTAAAGGTTCTTCAGGTGCTGGATGCTTTTCCCATAACAATACAATTGGTCTTCGTTGTGGTTGGGTGGTTGAAATTGGTGATGTCTGTATTGGTGATTCGAGTTTAAATGTTGGTGACAATTCATGTACTAATTTAGCTTTTGAGGCCGCTGCATCACTTCCCAAATCCTCTTCATGTGTCGAAGGACTTAAAATTATTCTTCTTGCAACCAACCTGAAGGTTATTAAGAAAAAAATCCATCGATATCTATCTCAAGCAATTTGTATCGTTTATTAACTTTTTCCTTCAAATTTTTTCCAACTTCTAATGCCTTTTGCATTTCTGATGTGTTGGTGTTGATCATGATTGAATCCGTGTCACCATAAATAACCTACAAGTTAAATTATTGGTTTAATTATTGCAACACGTAAAATCATTATAAAGTACAAGTAATTTCCGCACCTCCATTGATTCTTTTTCTGCTAAATCAACAGTATCCTGTAAGATTTCTCTTCCCTTTGAAGTGATTAAAACTGCCAATGGTTTTGCATAAAATCTCGAATTTGTAAACCCCAAGCAGCCATACATACTATTTGCAGTAAGTTTAAGTGCTTTTTGTCGAATATCAAGCTATGA